ACGTTTAGCAATTTCGTTTTATAAGAAATAATGACTTATAAATGATCTCATGTGAGAACAAAGTTCCAGAAAATGTTTCTAAATTCAATTCCCCCCCTAATATAAACGCGAAATTACCCAACTTAATTTGGAATTTTTTCGGTGAAAATATCGTCAGGTACAATAATGTGTGCTTAATGTGTAACCATTGATACATGCTATGCACCTTGTGCAACAATTTTACAAATCCTTAATGTGCAAATCTAGTACAATCTGGAATAATGCAATTTAGTGCTGTACACGTGTGCTTAGGTTAAAGCAGCTGGATTCCATCATCCTATGTAAATAGTTGTGATGTAAGGTTATCTTGATCTTGGAAATTTTCACAGAAACTGTAAAACAATAGAGGTAGTTTTTAGAAGCTTATGGGGTGCTTACAACTTGCGCTGAACTCGAACCACGGAGAGGCAGTACCAGTGCATGTGATGAGCGTTCGTCAAGCACCTCTGGGCCCTTTTGAGTAAAGGCAACTGAACACCGACGCTACTTCGAACTCCAAAAGTGTTGGCACACGTGGTTACAAATCACCTGCTTATGCTTTTCTGCCTCATACTCATTGAATGAATAAACTACTTGAATCGAAGTATATTGATTGGAGTCACAAGTGTGAGAGGTTTTATGTGTGAAAATAAGGCGTGGTTTGAATGCGCCATCTTTAATCTACCACTGGCACGTGAGTATCAAAGTAACGAAAGCGTGGTCTCCGCCAATTCCGTGCTCCATGAAATCGCTAACCATTCACTCAGCTCACCAAAATCAAACTCATGTTCAATGGTTTGATTAACCACTACCTTAGATTTTACAGATATTTTTCCCCATTCTCATGGCATGCCCAACTTTCTAAGGTATTGGTCAAAAGTGCACCTTTTACAAAGAGAAATACTTTCCTGGTATTTGTAGTACTTAGAAGGTCTAGAACATCTTCATAAAACCCTGTGTGAATGGGATTAGATTCTTAGGTCGCAGGACACAACCAAGCAACGATAATTTGTGTGTACTGACATTTCTTTTGGTCACCTTTGCTGCTGACACTCACACTTCAGTGCCGTCACAGAATGAAACAAAAACCAAAATTCCGTGACAAGTTGCTTTTTTTGGTACACTTTACTGAATAAATCCAGGCTCTTATATTAATCAGGCATCTTTTAACCGATGAAACGTTGCCGCTTCTAAGGCAGGTCGGCCATTTCAAATCAACGCCTCGTTTGTAGCAGGTGACGATTGAGATAACTAATTTGCATCAGCCGCACTTAAATTTGCTTCATAATATGTGACTTGTAACGTTTACTCACATTTCATAAGTCCTGCATGTCCATTGGAAGGAAGTCCCTTTAAGTTCAACAACATAACACCAGGTTTTCCGTTCAAGTATTGCTGGAGGAGTAATTAATCCAACCACAGATTTCTTGATCTTGCAAAAAAAGTCAATGGGAGTTGCACTCTTTGACGAATGTTCTCCATTTTGTAAAAGTCGTAATTGCTCCTCAAAAAACGAAAGTAGTGAGATTAATTAGTATGTTTGCGCACTGCATTCCCTTGTAACGAACGTGACTGTCGCCTAGGGACTGTGCGGATGCGACGAAACACCAACGCCGTGTGTCTCTGTGATTCGTGCGTGACGGACTTGCCAAATACCGCCAGCTAGGGCTACTCGAAACCGTTTCGCGCACACCAAGTGGTGACTTAGACGGGCTGTCCTGGATGTCGGATTTGAGACGGGCACCAAAGACAGATAGAATCCTTGGCCTCGGGTTTAAACCTTCCTGGTTAGTTAGAAGCTTGGGTGAACAGTGACAGTCACAGCAGTCTCTGGAAAATGGATATAATCTGTTCAACAGGACAATTAAAAGGAATGAGCGTCCTGGAAAAAGTTCGCTAACAAAGTCCCACTCCTCCCTTCAATTCTCAGAAGAGGGATCATTCTGAATCATCACATCGTGCCTGATTCTACTTACTGCTGAACATTAAAGATCAAAATTTATGTGATGAGTCCGACCCGTGATGTCTTTCAAAAATTAACAGTTTTGTAATATTAAACGAATTTGAGGAAGCCCGCCTGATCGTTTAGTAGGGGTTGTCAGACATAACTCAAAAATGAACCAGTGAACCAATTAGCTCATCATTATGACGTCTGATACGATGGACTTGTGTTACGTCTTCCCCATACACACTTGAAGAACACAGAAATCTCATGTCTTCGGTATTTTCTAGTCTAAGGAGATTGAATGTTAAAATAGCCATATTCAATGGTAATTGCTGCAACGCTGCATTCTAATTATTTTCGATAGTTTACGTATCTGTGGGCAGACGCGCTGATGAAGTTTTAAATATTGCTGAGAAGGTGAGCATATCGTGTTATGAGATTTGGCCGATGTATTGTGAAATTGCAAATCGAGTGTTCTACGATTTCCTATTCAAATTATTCGAAGTGCATAATACATTCAATACTGAGCCGGTTAAACTGACAATCAAAAGAGAAAGAGGACTTGAATAATTGGTATGGTGCCTGTCAATTGCATCCGCCCGTGATCATGTGTCTAGAACTGATAACTAGTGGGCTGCAACATTCGACGGTAACGGAGGCCATTCAATGCTAAAAAAGACGGCATTTTCGTGAAGGGGTTCGTTCTGTTCTCCCAGCTCTAACACACACACAGGCACAATCCCGCCTCTTCACTTAGAAATGTTGTGAATAAATAAGGCGTAGATTTGACCGTGAACCACACCACCTACAGCCTTAAGCTACCTGTGAATGGAAGGTAGCTTTACTGGGGCATGGAAAAGAAAATGGCACCCACAAACGGACTCAAAGTTCCCGATAACACAGAATTTGGCATCAAAAGTAATAACACTTAAAATGGATAGGTACGTTCAGAATTACTACGTTTCCTGTGATGTCTTAGAAGAAAGTGCCATTCTGATAAACCAGTATTAAAATATGTATAAAAGTAATCACTTAGTTGTCATCGTATCCAGAACCGAGTCCATAATCTTTCACTCGACGGTAACCGGTTATTAATCTTACCTCGTTTGTAAGAGGCACAAATAAATATTACGTCAAAGTAGGTTCAGGCTGCATTCGTAAATTACACCTAGTCGAATCAATGTCGCAGTAAGGATGTGTATAAGGAACTTCGTAATTTACATCTACCGAATCTTTCTCGAAATTAGTCTTTCTGTCAAAGACAGACCGTTCCGATATTACCAAATGACTCGTCTGTAAAACACGATACTTTGAATCGTCAGTTGGTAAGAACTTTTGCCATTTATGCTGGATTATAAGTTTGGCGTGAATTTTCCGTTCAGTCAGAGTTAAGTACTCACAAGTTTATTTTGCCAAAAGAGAACCCATGTAAATTCAAATTATTCTAACGGAGGTTTCAATGCAAAAATTATCAAGGCACAGGATCAGAGCATCGCGATTATGGATTTCTATTCTCTTTCCCATGACAATTGCATTTGGTTAAAGTTATGGAATCATTGCCTATTTGCGCCAGTTAAAGGACAAATACATGAGCGGAATGGCAACTGGTGGAAAAGTGTTTGTGCACTCTCTGTTGTGTGTGTGACTATTTATGTAGTGCCTGTGGGCCAAACTACTCCAATTGCATGCTTGCGCATTAGGAGGTACGCACAAGCCCATCGTTACCACTCGAAGATTGTTTATAAAGGTACAAGGAATTTCCTCCGAACCAAAGACACGCCTTCATAAATTAAACGCACTTTAATTTTGACAACCAAAACGGTAGCTGCAATCAAATTGTTAACTTGCGAAGATAACAGCCTGTCCAGCAGTGCGCCACGTGGGCACTCAAGGAATGGCCACGATAAATTTTCTGTCGACAGAGGTTCTGCCCTACACACCGGCAAAATAGTCTGTCCATCTCAGTTACCGTCCACCACACACGAGTTGCCAATTGAAACAAGGACGTCCTTGGACTTTCAAGTCAGATTCCTTATTCCCAACAAGCAGAGGCATTTTTGTGGGGAGGTGATCACTGGACCCTAGTCTACTCAGCGGATATGGCAAGTACAAGCCACTAAAATTAAATGCCAACTCTGAAACTGCTAAACTAGTCACTACGACCTGACTTGCGACGGTAAAACTGACAATTCCGGTTGTAATAACGTTGCCGCTAACCCAAGATAATTCAGAGTTCTTGCTAATTTTAAGATCTGAAAAAAAAGAAGGGTTAGACCCCTACAGAACACTGCGTTGGCTCGGCGTGGAACCTTGTATATCTGGTTGACCTAACGCAGAACGGGTTTGAAGGTAACTTCCAATGATTTCACATTTCAATCGGTGTGCACATCTTAAGAACAGGCTGGTGACTGGGGGCGAACGTGGAAAATGCCACAGGGTTCGACAGGGCTTAAAGCGTCACAACTTCGCATCAAGAGGTAAAAGTATTCCTTCCCAACGATTATATTAGCCTTATATGCTTATATCCTAATGCAAAAGACCAAGAGGAATAGCTTGTGACTGTTTGGGGTGTCGGCACAAGGGCATTTGCCGTTTGGGTCACCCGGCGGGCGTGGGTGGAGGTTTTGGAGTGCGCAAACCTGAGTGGCTGAAGTGACCCTGGCAGTTCATCAATTGGAGTGGTTTCAAACGCAGCAATCACCCGAACTGGCACTGGAAATCAACAGCTCGGAAGCACAACTACCCAAGTTCGTGAGTGCACCTCTCTGAGGTTAAATATAAAACGACTACGAACTGGTCATTGTGAATTTCAGATAGCAATATACATTGCACAACGGATTGCCAGTTTTACCCACATTGCTGATAGCTATGTGTGCAATAACAGGAACTCTTATCACACACACCACTGGGCTCAAAATCCGCATGTGTGGCAATCCGTGTGTCAGTTGGCTGTGCACTGGGTGTGTCAGTGGGTCCCGCTAATTCGACAACGCCACGGAGCCAGACATCCGCCACCTCAAGCATTCAGTGGGGACATTCAGCAATCGAGCTCAGTGGCGGCGTTGTGCGCCTCACTGCAAAATCCAGGCCGTATTGGGGTGATACCAGAGGGCTGCTCGATCAGCAACCAAGCTGTGTTGCCTCAAATAGGCGGTGACGCGTGCGTGAGCGGCAGCCAAGACGTGTGGTAGCGTAAAGTGTGGAGACGAGAGGTGATAGGGTGAGTCACATAGGCTCTGAGCCAATAAGTGCACGACCACCATTGGTAATTGCCAAATAAGAGCAGCATTTCGGCTGCTATACGCTCAAACGTATCTATCAATAATCCACTCCTTCGACCCAACTCCTCAACTGGTCGACCACTTTGGTCGGCATCAGAAGCAGGCTGCGCTTCCCATTAAACAAACCAGGTCGTCTCATCTAGTTCCCGTGACGTGGCTGACACCATCTTCCAAAAGGATAGTGCTTTTGTAAAGATCTCACAAATATAGTCACCATTATGCAAACTATTTTAATCGGCCAAGGTTCACAGCAGCAAAGTGCATAGGGGCTAGTTCAACCGTTGTGGTTTTTACTTAACGTGAGACTATGACAACTAAAAGGATCTCTCTCGAACGCAGAACGTCGAGGGAGGACTTTCACGGAGTTCAGCCAATTGTCGAAAGACGTGAGGGTACGCCTCCCTCGATATAAATAGTAACCGGTGTTAGCTGTGTTCATCTGTTCCCTTTCCCACGGCTTTTGACCCATTAATTCCCATGTAAGAAAATGAAAATTCTCAATTGCCGGTTTTTATAAAAACTGGCTATGGCGCTTCGGTAATAGCGAGGATAATAGTAAAAAGCATAAGCGAGTGCACGAGTTTATGTGTGTATAAAACAACGACAGCAGCAATTAGGATTCATTTTTGTTTGGCAACGATTTCTTACTTTTGACCTCATTTTCTTTTAACTCGGACATCAACCAATCTGGAATGCCGGAGCTTGACGAGGAAGAGGCGTCACGGACATCACGGTCGCCGTTGGTAACCAACGGCTCCTTTTTGCCAAATTGATCGTTTTCACTGTGTTCGCCCACAGCGTCGTCACCTGATTGGGCCGCGTCCAGCCCCACACGGCTAGGAAATTCAAACACCCAGTCGGAATTTCGATTGCTAACATCGTTACTCTCTTGTGGAGGAGGGGTTGGAGGCTGTGGCCCAGGAGCGTAGATTAAATTTGGGCTTTCGGCATGCATTGGGTTCGCCGTGTAGGTTTGAGAACGCTTCCCGTTCGCTGAAACGTCTTTCCCGTTGGCGTTCTTTTGCAAGAGAAAGGCCGATGGATGGTCGTCTCCGGCATGCGCCGAAGCCCTGCTTCTTGCCGCCATCATTGACTTTCGTTTAGCTTCCTTTGTCTTTTGACGTCTCCGGAAGAAACCACAGCAATACAATGAGGCAATTAGGCTAAATAGCAGGATACTGCCCAGAACAACACCCACGACGATTGGCCAAAGTTGAATTTGCTCAAGATATTTCCCAGTTACTCCACGAAAGACAATAGTTTGGGCCAATTCGTATGATGGTGGATTTTCTGGATACTCCAAAATGGCGGATGGGTAGGCAAGGAGGGTTTTCGGAGGTGGACCCCAATTTATCAAACTTAATTTGTTGACAAAATTGACGTCGGGAAGCTGATACTTGAAAAATGTCGGTGCCCACAACCAGCCTGTAAGGCTGATTCGGATAGCATCAGCGTGGGACAACTTGCCCAGCCGACAAATGACCGTGGCACAAACGACCTCGAAGTCCAGTTCGCCGCCATACGGGTTGTCAGATTGAGGGGCCACACAAGAAATTGTTGCCTGTCGCTGGCCTGACCTCTTAAAGTAGACCCTCACACGGTTATCACCGAAAGGGCTGATAAATGTCATCCTACTTGATTCGATGGTATCCTCTTGGCTTGTTGACCTGCGTCGACGAATACTTTGTCGGTTTGAACGAGAAAAGCCTACAAAACAGAGAGAATTTTTTATTAAGTATAGTTGAGGGCAATAACCAGCCTCGTGAGGGACTAAAATATTAAAAACTAAAAGTGGTAAAAATGATATCGCAGTATCTCAAAGTTGGCAAGTGGACACTCCCTAGGAGTCCATAAAAAAAACTTCACAAAAGCACAGTTGGTGCACATCAACTTACTAACATGAAATAACGCAGACACGATGTGTGCGTGTGTATAGTGGCAGTTTGGGCCTTGCAGCGGCGCTGCTAACCGATGACGAACTCGAATACGGCAATGCATTGTGAAGCAGGCTTCCTAATATCTCTTGGCATCCGTGATACAATTCAAGCTTTGAGCATCGTTCTCCATGGAACTAAGCGATTTGACCCCGGACAGGGTTACCATTCGATGTTGCGGCAGTCAGACTTACCAGCTGATTATGATTACTTAGCCGTGAATGAAAGGTGTTGTAGCTATACATTTATACCTGGCCCAGTGAATTGCTTCTGCAAACGACCGGTTGCCTGGCTCCAGGTGTACTGTTCTACTTTATAAACGATTAGATCGACTGATACAGTTTCCACAACTAGAGGGGCTTTTGTTCTCCCTCGCCTTCGCACAGAGGAAGCGAAAAGAGTTGGCCATGCGATAGCTCTAGAATAAGACGTGCACATGACATCCCAGGTGGGTCGAAGTGGAAGCGGTGCTTGCAAGCAACTGTGTCGTGTCTCATTAGAGGGACTATTATATTAAATGCCAGGCTCTGGAAACACGCACACACACACACACACACACATTCGAGGTACTGCTGTGACACAAGAATAATCGAATTCCTCAGCCCGCATGACTCACCCTTTGCGATAAATAAATTAACATTCGGCTGGACAAATGTCACGTCGCCAACTTTGCAGTAGCGTCGCGCGCCAAATCAAGACCGCAAGGACCTTTACCGCCCACAAGTGGGTGACTAAGACAGGAAGGCCGGTTAGTGCTGTTCGAAAGAGGCTTCCCAAGAAGTGCGAGAACAACGTGTCGTACAATGCGACAGAGGTCCGTACTCAGAAGGTCTCTTTTAGACTACACGTCGCAAGTGGAAAATCTGCGATTATAACAGCATTAGGAACTGATTCCCACCAACCAGTACCAGCACCTTAGGAGAAACCCGACCAAAAACAGACGTCTGTGCTAGTGCAGTAGTGTTTTGTTGAGAAAACGATTTTGATGCACTGCGAACCAATTCCAGAACATACCAAGCGGGAAGGTGGTAGTAGCAGTGCGCATAAATCAGCTGATCTTGCGAAGTGAGCGAAAGTAATTCATGGAGCTAACCGTTCATTCGCTGACCCATTACACCATATTTTTAATTGACAAGGATCTCTCGCCTGACAGGTCTATCAAATGAGAAAAATAATTTCCTTCCACGGGGGAGTTGGACTAATGCGAAATGGTAAGGCATCGACTGGTGTAACAATGCGTATTCCACGACAAGACTAACTAACTAATCTAAAGTGCAAGAGTGCGATGCGGGTGGACATACCATCCATAACGAGAGAGGTGAAAGAGGCAATTAGCAATGGGATATCTTGAAATGCATGAGCACTTAAAAAGTAAGTCGATCGAACGATGTACAAACAAAAAGACGCAGAGCTTAGGTGTAAATTAAGATTACCGCATTGGCGTGATAAAATGTACGACGTTGATATTTCCAAAGGCGTAGACACCAGTTTGGCATGCCTACGCATCTGCACGATTCACTAAATCAAAAATGCACAGACTGAACAAACGACTTTGACAAACGAGGTACCCACCCATAACAAAATCCAACCTGTACTGAAAACTCGTTTAAATTTATGTGGATTGGTAGTTTGCGTCATATCCGGGTGCACTGCCATGCTAGAGAACGAGTATCAACACACGGACACCATAAAATTATTCACGAAGTCCGTAATCTACACGGAAATATCAATGATCTTTTACTCGTCACCACATATGCAAAGTGTTCAAGCGAACGCGGCGTTTCGTACATTTGCGCGGGGCCTGCTCACAAAGACCTGGAGCTAACGGACAGAGGTGGTGGCGGGCGCGAGTCGAAAGGGGAGCCCAACGCACGCACGACGCACGCACGCCGGCCTTGTCGCCCCGGCCGGTGGGGGAGCGCCCGGGTGAGTCATGCTTAAAAGACATGGGCGTGGGCAGGCGAACACACAGGGCACGGGCGCAGCTGTCCCACGTGGGTTCGGCGGTGGTGGTGAGGCCTCGTGGTCGATAAGCCAGCATGCAAGTTCCCTCGTCAATGGCTAAGATCCCGTGCACAAGTAAACCTACATGTACATCATCCTAGGGAGTGTAATGATTACAAATGCTCAGTAAAGCTGGTCTGAATGCAGTACTGCGCGTAAGATCAAGTAACTCCAGCGAATTCAGCGCCTCCGAAGTAAGCCAAACAAATTTGAAAGCTGTGTCCTTAGGGCTAGACGTGCAACATTCGGCTTCAGGCTTAACAATCAGAATTTCGACACTGTTGTCGATACCAACGGCGAATCAGGTGGATTGCGAGCCTCGTTAAAAGTAAACATCGACAGAACATTGTTTATAATAGCGGGAGATATCTGTAGCTGGCTTCAAAAAACTACGTGGGAAATATCCAGTCATACTGGAGAGCCGTAGCGGTAACTTCATCTACACACGATCATTTGAAGATGGTGTTTACACAACACCCAGAGCCGTCCTGAATCACGATTTTTTTTATCTCACATTCGTGTACATGAACCACACAGAACAAGTATGCGCGGACAGGGGATGTACGCATTTAGATGCTGTTGACTGCCCGCATCTAGTGAAAATTCAACGACGCGAAAGCAACGTGGGCCTGGTAAGGTAACGCGCTGAATAGCAGGACCGTGGGATTGCCAATGAACGCCATATAAACACTTTGGCACAATTCAAAAAGAGTTAAAGAATGGGTGTGAACAATGAGATAAATTACGCTTAGGTAGAAGTGGGAAAGGCTTCACTTTTGGAGAAACAGACATGCTGCAACATGACTAACAAACTTACTTCCAGATCCGCCCTCACGAATCGTGAGGTCGAGAGGGTTGACGAAATCCTCGTCAATCTCACAGGCACCGACTTCACTTCCATTTGCAGAAACCATCTTTGGCAAAGTGTTCACCCATCGGAAATCTTACCAAAAAAATAAAAAAATCAATCAGGTATTTACTCATTTTAACTAACATTCTAAAATGCAATTAAAAACTCGAATGAGTGAAAACAAATCCGTTGTTGAACAACACCGGTGTGCGATGTATTGATAGTGGGATGAACGTGGGTGTCGCGAAAATCAAATTGACAATAGAAGTGAACGAATGCAAATGGATACGCTTTGGATTAAATTACAGTAAACAATGATTAATACATGATTTTTTGCAAGCAATATTCAACAATAATTGAGGGATTCGATTGCGGGTTTTGGCCTGGTGAGGTTACACAACAGTAGCCCAAGAGAAACAACGACAACTAGCTCCACTTACCCGAGGCACTATCATTGAGGAGTCGGGCTTTATCGCTGAGGTAGAACAGGGTGTCCCCAGTGTCGGTGCGGACTGGGATATCCAACTGAAATATGACATCATAGAGGTCCACTGTGCCAAAGTTTTCCACGAGAAAGACGTGTTCTAGTTGAGGACCAAGCTCATGTCCGAGGACTATTTTAGTAGAAACTGCAAGAAAAATCCGAAGAAAAGGTTATTTGCGCATTTGTAATTGGGGAGTCAGACGAAGACCGGACAATCAAGGCACACAAGCACACACAGACCATCTCCAAATTTCAATCTTATCGATAAACTGGAAGTACACGATGTGCGATTCAAACTACATTGGCAAGATAACGTGTTCACTTGAGTTGTCGAGTTGGTTAGGGGGTGTGCCACGCCTCTATGCAGTGTTGAAGTCGATTTGGAATTTTCCATGAACTAGAGGTGCGTGTACGTCTTCCGAATAAAGCGGAACACTGCAGCATGGCAATCACTGATGGCTGAATGCAGGTCGATCATTGCTTTTCTGCCACGCAGCCCGGACAACGGAATGAGCCAATGACTGGAGTGAATTGAAGCGCACATCACACAGGATGGTTGAATTGGGCAA